CAGGCAGCAGAGAGGAAGAACAGAGGGATAAGGGAAGTTCATTGAACCACGGCTAGGCATGGGGCACTTCCTGTGCCAATTCCTAAAGCCAGTGCCACCTGGCATCCAGTGTCCACTTGGATCTGCACGGTGTGGGAACTGAGTCCCTATCACCCCAGGATTTAGGGGAGCCTCAGTGCACTGGATGGAGATTATGTTCTGAAAACTTCCCAGAGGCAAAGAAAGGAGACTTTCAGGTAGGCTACTAAAGAGCAAGATAATACAGCTGCTGTTCACCTAGGCAACAGGAATTTGCAAGCCCAAATCAGAGCTCTCAGCAGCCCCTCCCTACTTCCCTGAAAAAGGACAGAGACAGAGTGAAGACTCGAGCTTAAGTCTGGAAGAGAATGAAACAGCAAAGTAACAAGGCCACTTACCACTGGAAGAGCGCCGAGACAAAACGTAAGTTGAGCAGTGAGAAGTTTATTTAAGGCAAAAAGATGCATACTGGAAGAAAGAGGAGTGTGGGCAACCTCAGAGAAGAGGCACCCCTACGGGTTCAGCGTCTGGGGTTTTATAGGGCTTTTCAGGTAGGAGTCAGCATAAGGCATGATGTACAGAGGTGATTTATAATTCCTTTGGAGTTTTGCCTCAAGAATAGGGTTATTTAGATGACTATGTTGGTCTGGATCCTGACATTCTTTATCCACATAGGTTTATTTACACTTCCAAGGTCTGTCTCCTGCACTGGTTATAGTTACTTGATTAAGGGGCAGCAAGAAGAGGAAAAAACAGCATATAAGTTAAAGAAAAAGCTGGGCCTTTTAGCAGGCTAAAGTAAATTTTACAATGGTATGATCCAATTGATGCAATGAAGACATGGGCTGCGCTCAGATACTTTTATCTGGGGGATATGGGGAAATACAGCAACATTCCAAGTTGCTTCTGGCTTTTAGAGCCTCAACTGATTAACTCATTAACTCGGTGAGTCTTTTCTAGCTCTCTAGTTTTATCTGGTTAACCCTTTGAGTCCCTTTGAATGGGCTTTACTGACCTTATTCTCCCTCCACCCGCTTGTATCTGTTTTTCTGCCTAACACAATGAGGTGTGATTTGGCCTGTTCTTAGGATCTGGTTGGGAAGAAAGTTACCTCCCTGCAAAGCCTTTGTTGTTTTCACATGGGACCCATTACCTGGGCAGAGTTTGAGTGGCTTTGTCTTTGAACCTTACCTTGGCATCTTTTTTTTTAACCTTATCTTCCCATCTTCCAGCTACTCAAGTCTATCTTTTTGCTGCCTAACATTCCCATCACATTTAGAATAAAATCTGTTATCATGTTCAACCTCATCTCTTACCATTTTCACTCTTGTCCATGCTCCAGACACACTGACCTTACAGTTTTTGAGTCAAGCATGTTTCTGTCTCAGGGCCTTTGCTTTTGCTGTTCCATGCTGGAACCACTTTTTCTCCAGATATCCCTGTGGCTTGCTTCCTCACTTCCTTTGAATCTCTGCTCAAATATCAGGTCTTCAAAAACACTTGCTTCTACTACTCTGTGTAAAATGGTAGACCCCACGAACTCGGTATTCTTCTCTCCCTTTTCTTATATTTTATTATTTTTCTTAACAGCTTTGTCAGTATCTGACATTTTATATTTATTTGTTGCTTGTCTCCACTACAGGAAATAAGTTCTTTCAAGAGCAGGTATTTTGTTTTGTTCCCTGTTTTTTCATCTCTGGGAACAGTGCCTGGCACATAGTAAGAGCTTGGTAAATATTTATTGAATGAGTGAATAAGTTAAGTGAAAAAAGCAATGTGCAACACCATATGGTTGGAATGCTATCACGTGTAAAAAAGGAGTGGTAGATAACATACAGTGCTGGCATATGCATATATGAACTTGAAAGAGTTCGGAGATGGAGGGTGGGTAAAGTAATACATTTGCACCTATGTTCTTTTATGCAGTATTTTTTACAACCAAGTTCCCGTATTATCTTTCCAAACAATATATAGGAGTTCAGGGGATCAGAATATGCCACCCCAAAATATGCCATTTTGGCATAAAGATTATTTCAAGCCAAAGGCAAATGAGAAGTAAATATAAAAAGCTCTGCTCTTCCCTTATAAATTTCCCTTTGGGAAGGTGTTCCCTTCTCTTATCCAGGAAGGGCAGAAGTTAACCACAAGAGACAATTCTGGGCCTTTATCAGTGAGAGGAATCTGAATACAAATCTTACTAAACCAATCCTTATCTTCCATTAGCTTCTCCCATATTTACCTTCCCACCATCTACCTTGATAAAAGCCTGAACTCCTTCCCACTGTCTTACCACTTCTCTGCAAATTTAAAATTTATCATTCTTTGTCAGACAGGTAAAAAAGCCTCTAGGCCTAGTCAGCCCAATCTCTGAACCTAAGAGGGTAAAGGACAAAACAACTCTGTTTTGCCATCAGGTAAATACATAAGGGACTGCCTTGGGTGGCAGTGAGAGCTCACTGACTCTTCACCACAGCAAAAGATTGCTGAGAGATACCTGCGTGAGGTATGAAATGGGAGTAGAAGATCCAAAAGATCTGCTTTTCCCATCTATACCACCTAGCGGAGGCACACTCAACCACTTAGGGTCAGAAACACTGTGAGATGGGCAGGATCACACATTTGGGAGGACTGATTGCCTCCAGGAGAAAAAATGAAAAACTCAGCTGCCAGCTAGACCCAGTGTTCCTCACTGACCATAAACAGTGTTCATAGAATATAAACAAATATCAGACAAGGCTACTCTGGAAACACAAATATCACAACATCCTCCTCTTCTGACTAACATGACTGGTTTCTGCTTCTTTACCAATGACAGCTCTGGCCCTACTTTAATCTTCCTACCGCCTGGATACAAATTACAAAGATACCTAATCATCGACTTGCCCCTGCTTCTTGATTGTGTCCAATTCAAAAATGTTCCCCACCTCTTTACACCCTCCTAAGAGTTACCCAGCACAAACACAAACTCTAAAATAAGCTCTCCCCAATTCCCTCTTCCCAAGATACCTCACAGCTTCACTGGTGTGTGTTCTTCCTTGCTGAACAAGCCAAATAAATCTACTTCTTTTTGACTACAAGTATGTTCCTGGTGGGATTTGATCATAGACTTTATCACAGTCTTACCTTCCTCAGCGCAGTCCAAGAATACCCAGACAGGAAGAAGTAAGGATTTTATAGACTACCTAGAAGGTTCAATGTGCCCAAGTTGGGCAGATATTGAGGGGAGAAGGGATCAGAGAAGGGCTGAGATAGGATTAAGAAAGTCTGAGTGATTCTTCTCTGCCATCAACCCCTTCTGTGGCCTTGGGCAAACCTTTTCCCTTTGAGCCCTTTTCCATTTCTGTAAAAGAAGATACTCAAAGATACTTCTACAGCTTTTTCCAATCAAATATTCTAGGCTTACAAACTCTACAGGTACTTATATTCCCAGGTAAATGTTCTCCTACATTAGTTATTTGTATATCATTGTCATCATTATTTTCCATGTGCATACCACCTGTACTGTTATATATATAAGTAAATAATTTTTCAAATTTTTTTCTTTAAATGGCCTCTTGACAAATTGACAAAGGAAAATTTACATCACTGCTTAAATGGAAATCCAGCATTGCTTGGTAGAAATGGAACAATTTCTGCAAACATGCATGCACACAAACCCTAGAACAAAGCAGTGTTATTTTACCACATATGTTACCTTTTGGAGAGATTTGGGAAATGAAGCCTTCACTCTGTTAAAAAGGGAAATAAGTATGTTAGGTAGATACTTTATAGTCTCCAACTTTCTCTTTGGTTTGGACAGGATTTCTCTGCCCTTCATGTAACCTAATGTCATGTTCAACACACTAAGATGTATCCCAAATGGTTTCCATATTTTAGGAAACGATACTCATCTTTCCCTTATTAACGTGGACTCATCTTTCAGTTCTCAGAATAACTATAAATTCCGCAGAAAAGCCTTCCAGGACAGCCCTACCCCACAACTGACTTTTCTCTTACATGGTAGGCATTAACCTTTTGTTGAAAGACTCCCTCACACAACTTCATAACACTTATGACGATGTAATGTTCCTTGTCAGTCTCTTCTTAACTTGGCCATAAATTCTTGGACACTTCTGTACCCCTGAGCTTGTGATGTGAACATCCACTACGGAGTTGCTTATGTCAAGTTTGCCTGCTTTCGCGCTGACTGCCTCTAAACATAGCCCACCTTAAAAGGCGGGCCGGTGAACGCCCGAACCAGATAACGCCATATGTGGACTCTCCCCTTATCTCTGACCCCCCCGATAGATGGACTGGACTATATACAGGACTGGACACGATGCCCGTGGCAAGCTTGTTCCAGAGGTCCCTGACACCAGACGACGGACGTGTGCTCCGAGGCTTGCTCCTGCCCATCAGCCCGTGCCCCTGCTCCATCACGGATTCCTCGCTCCACTGAACCTGTCTCCGTTGCATCGCCTTCCCTAAGGTGGAGCTCGCTCGACACCCCTGGAGGAAGAGGCAGATTGGGATAGCCCGGTTCCCAACCACCCGCCGTGACCGGTGTGAGATGTACTGATCCGTGATGTGTGAGTCCCTCTTTTGAGTGTTGGGTGGAAGGGAAGTGCAAAATAAACCGTGTGATTCATACGACGTTAAGGGTGTTAAGTTCCTTATTCCACCGCTCTGTGGATCCATACTTCCTGGCCCGCTCACCTCATCTAGTCATAAAATGGGCTCCTAACGAATACGAACGAGGGGAAGGAATTAAGTTTCCACAGCTCCTGGAGCCCCAGGCAGACTTAGCCCCACCTTCCTCTTCTGCCCCAACGGGTTTAGCTACACCTCCTTCCTCTGTTCGCAGATGATTTAGCCCCGCCTTTTCCATTCGCCTGAGGCCGGTTTAGCTCCGCCTCCTCCTTCCGCGGCCTCTGATTGAGCTCCTTCTTCTTCTTCTGCCAATGACAGGTGCCCTCTCGCAGCTGCGCCGGGAGCAATGGGCGGGGCGGCGCAATGACGCAAGTATCGCGTTTTCGGCCCGAGGAACCGCCGCGTTTCTGAGGAGACACCGCAAGTGGCAGTTACCACCAAACTAGAACCTGCACTGTCGGCCGCCTCCCTCACCAGCGTCACCATGGGGGCTGTGCTGGGCGCCTTCTCCCTCGCTAGCTGGGTGAGTTCGGGAGCTGGTGTCTGATTTCAGGCCTGTCGTTTTGGGGAGCGCGATAGGGTGCCTCAAGCCCAGACCCCGAGGGGCCTTGGCCCCGGAATCCAGGAGGTCAGGGGCACCGGGCCTGGGCTGTAGAGGGGATCACGGAGCCCGGGGCCAAAATCCGCGGTGCCCTGCGCGCCCCCCACCGTCCCGGTCGGGATCTGGCGGCTCGCCTTCCGGGTTTGTGGAAGAACGGAGGGGGCCAGGGGCCAGGCCTTCATTGTTTACAATTTCGATAGCCCCGCCTCCGCGAGCCTTCCGGCCGCGGGGTCCCTCGACTTCCTGGGGGAGGGGGGGCTCTGGTTCCTTTCGAAGAACCTTCTTAACAGTGGCGTCATTTAATTTCTGGGGGCTTAAATAGTATTCTTATCCCATAGCATGGGATATGCCAGTGTTACAGAGTACGTGGCGGAGCTGGGATTTTAGCTGAGGCCTATCTGCAGCTCTGATGCAAGAGAAAGGCCTTGTGGTTTACTATTCAAAATGTCCAGAACATTTTAGACCTTGTACAAGACATTTATCTCTTCCCGTGAAATAAGGATAATCACCCCCTGATTCCTTGCCTCGAGAGCCGTCGTGAGGATAAAATGAATAAATAGGTTGAATCACTTTGTAGATTGTAAACGCTGTTATTTTAAAAGGTAATTTTAAGATCTGTGAGAGACTGTGCTGAGTTCCCTAATATACTTGGAAGATTCCTTGAAATATTTTGTTATCTTAATTCCCCAACTGACTTAATTGACCAGGGACTCAGTCTCAGCTCATTACACTACCATTTCTTAAGGACAGAGTGTATTTTCCATCCTTTAAGGTTGTTGAGCTCAAGTCAAGGGTGTTTTGTCATTTACAAGTTCTTGGAGAGCAGTGGCTTTCCAAATTTTTTTACTTTTATCCAAAGTAGGAAATAAATTTTACATAGATGACTTAATACATCCCTTAAGACATGTTTCCTGAAATAATTCTTACCATTACCATGCTGTACAATTTTTCTATCATGTTAAAAAATAATCTTGGTCAATTGATTTTGACAACCCACTAATGGGTCAAACACAACTATTTAAAATAGATTTAGGAAAAGTATAGTTAAGGAGGTCACTAATTAAGGAGTAAATTTGTAATTTGAAACAAAAGATGTCTGTCTTCTAATAACCTGAAACATATTTTGGCTTTGATGTAAAGCTAAGACTTGCTGCCAGTAGAACATTTATACCTATAAATTGCTTTTATATATTTTTAATACCTTTTGTTCAGTAGAAACAGCAAGGAATTAGTGTGCCAGAGGATGGAATGCATGAGAGGAAGACTAATAGCAAATGAAGTCAGAAAGGTAGAAAAGAGCCAAATCATGTAAATAGCCACTGTACCATTTTGTAGGCCAATTTAAGGATTTTTACTCTTTGGCTTTCACTCTTCAGTGATGTTGGGATCCAACACAGAAAAGAGTAATGATATGGTCTGACCTGTGTTTTAAGAAAGGTGCTGTGTGGAAAATAGATGGTAGGAAAGAAAGGGTAAAGCAGGGTAGGGAGAGAATAAGCTTTTCTTCCACCCTCTGAGGGGTTAATGGTTGGGGGGCCTGTGAATTAAACTGAGAAAAGACAGATTAGCAAAAGAAAACAGTTTAATGTGTAGGTGCAACACACATACATGAAGGAATGCTCAGTGATGAATAACTCCAAGGAGTGGTTAGAATACAGGGTTTATAGTCCTTCCTAGGGTTTCGGAAAGGAAGGAGAGAGCAGGGCTTCTGTGGCAAGAACAAATCTGTTTCTTTAGGAAAGACAAATGAATTTTTAGAACAAATATGATATAAGAGTTTGTGATAACCCTTGTATATGTAGGTGCAGGCACCTTTTTGTTTTCTTCATGGCCATAAAACCCCCTTGAGAGAGAGTTAATGGCAGCCTCATTTCCCAGATGTTGCTGCCTTCAGTCAGAAGAGGAAAGCCCCAAGGTTTATTTTCCTGCTTTTGTTGAATCTCAGATATCTTCATTTTATTAAAATAATCTTGGTATCAATTCTGGGTTCCAAATGGATTGCTCCAGCAGTGAGACAGGAGCCACTGAATTTGATCCCAGTGAGAGGTGATGGTAGTGGCTTGGACCAACATGACAGCTAAAGATGCTATCAAAGTGGTCAGATCTAGATGTATGTTGAGGGTGGAACAATGTGCTGACAGATGGAATAAGGGTTTTGGAAAAAGAGAAGGCATCAAGGATGACTCCAGCTTTTGACGTGAGCAGCAGGATAGAATTGTCATTTAGAGAGAGAGGGAAATGGGATCACATATAGTAGGACAGGTTTGGTTTTTTCCACCGATTGAGTACCTACTGTGCAAAGGTGCAAGAGGTAATACTAGCTGGTCCCCCCTCAAGGTACTTAAATTCTCATGACAGTTATAAATAAGTTAAGTAGGTGTATTGGTTTGCTAGGGGTGGATAATAAAACACCACAAACTGGGGGGTTTAAACAACAGAATGTATTGTTTCACAGTTTGTAGGCTTGAAGTCCATGATTAAGGTGTCAGCAGGATTGGTTCCTTCTGAGGGTGTTGAGGGAGGATCTGTTCCCCCCATGCCACTTCCTTAGCCCCTGGTGTTTTGCTACAAGTCTGGTGTTCCTTGCCTTGTAGATCTCTGCCTTCAGTCTTCACTTAGTGTTCTTTTTGTATTGCATGTCTGTGTCCAAATTTCTCCTTTTTATGACACCAGTGCCCACTCTTCTCCATTATTACATCGTTTTAGCCAATTCTATCTGCAGTGACCCCAATCCCAAATAAGATCACATTCTGAGACACTGGGGATTAACACCTCAACATATGGATTTGGAGGGGGACACAATTCAATTCAACCCATAACAAACAGTATTTAGTAGGCCAGAAAAATATATTAGCTAAAAGGAGTCACGAGTGTGAGAGTGCAGACAAAATAAACCTGAAGCAATCAGTGTCATTGATTCTGGCTGGAAAACCTCTACTTCTGTCTGCAGCCAGGTACAGACTGCTCCAAATATTAGTGACTACCATGACAGACTGAGCCCCTACTATGTTAGGTAATATGCTGGGTACTATATTCCTGACACTGTCTTGTTCTTCACATAGTCACTGTTTGTGTAGGTGTTATGCCCATTTTTACAGATGAGAAAAGTAGGCTTTTTAAGTAACTTAGCAGCTTGCTCCAAATCACACAAAACCATGGCATTGTCCACAGAAAGTACCATTGAAAAAAGTAAAGATTCATACTGGGACTGTGCTTTCAGATCAGAATCCCTGGGTTGTACCAGCTTCTGCTGATGATTCTGAATTAGCCTATCCTTGTAATGTGACTTGATAATGCCAGTCTGTCAGAGCAATTCAAGTGGTTTCTAGTAAAGCATATATAAGAATGACTCAGATTATGCCCTTTCATCCAGAATGCTCATTAGATTTTAGCTGACCCTGTATCCAGGTTCTTTTATTTCTTTTAATTGAGGCAAAATTCACATAACTAAATTAACTATTTTAATGTGTGTAATAATTCAGTGACATTTAACGCATTCACAGTGTTATGCTGTCATCACATTTGTTTAGTTCCAGAACATTTTCATCGCCCCAAAGGGAAACCTGATAACCATTAAGCAGTCACTCCCTTCTTCCTCAGAACTCTGGAACCACTAATCTGCTTTCTGTGCATTTACCTATTCTGAATGTTTCACGTAAATGAAATCATACAATATGTGAGCTTTTGTGTCTGGCTTCTTTCACTTAGCATGACCTTCCTAGGTTCACTCATGTGCCAGGTATCCATACTTCCTTCATTTTTATGGCTTAGTAATATTACATTGTGTGAATGCACCACATTTTACCTATTCATTCATCATTTGGTGGATGTGTGGTTTGTTTCTCCCTTTTGGCAAATAGTGCTTTGGACATTCATGTACGACTTTTATTTGAATACCGGTTTCAGTTCTTAGGGTGTATGTTTAGAAGTGGACTTGCTGGGTCATATGGTAATTCTATGTTTAACTTTTTGAGGAATCTCCAGGTTACTCTTGAATGGAGCTAAATGGCTCTTGCTACCATTATTTATAAGGGTTTCCATGTAATGTTTGCTTTATGCTGTAATATCAGATTTGGTAACAAAGAGTCTCAGTAACTAGCAAGTGGAATTAATTCTCAATGTTAAGATTTTTTTAAAATAAAATAAGGTGTGCATTTGAATATAACATTTATTGGGCTCTTACGATGTTTTAGGCACTGTGTTGAGTTACTCATTTTATCCAACAGTGTCCGAGGGACAAAGATTCTTTTATTGAGTCTGTTTTACAGATGGAGAAACCAGCTTAGATATGAACTTACTGAAATGAAGTGACAGACATAATATTGACTCCAGAGCCCATGCTTTTACCACTTCCTCTTAGCCATATTCTCTCCGTTATAACTGTCAAAGCCTGGTTTGCCTCCTCTTCTATTCGGTGACCCTTTGTCCTGAAGGAGTCCACTGACGGAGGTCTCCAATGGGTGCGGTATGCTTATTGCAGGTTCCATGCCTCTGCAGTGGTGCCTCGTGTTTGCTGTGTAGTTGCTGTCCCAACAGTAAGAATTCCAGCGTGACTCGCCTCATCTATGCTTTCATTCTCCTCCTGGGCACTGTTGTATCCTGTATCATGCTGGGGGAATGGATGGAAACTCCGCTGAAGAAGGTAAGTAGAAGTAACAGTAGCCTGAATGTACTGATTATTTTTATTATTTTTTATATTTTGCAAAATTTTGGTTGAAATTAATGTTCTTATTTCTTCACTGCCAGGTTCATTGTAATTGCTGGGTTTTCTTAAATTACATTTGGGTATAGTCAGAACACAGAATATGAGGGTATTAGTCCTTTTCTAGAAATAAAGGGAGTCATGGGCAGTATCCTCAGGCTCTAGTCTAACACCAGAGAGAAGGACACTAAAAGAGTAGCCCTAAAATGTTATCGTTCCATGTAGGTTTACCATTTAAGCTTTTAACTAGACTAGCCTGTCCCCTTTGGAAGGAGTGAGTTGTACCATGAGAATTTATGGGGAGATGGGAGATAGCCTCATCAGCAGAAGAGAGCACCTCACTTTTGTTTTCAAAATGCAGGTGGTTTATACTATTTGGTGACAAGATTATAAGTGAATTGGTAGGCGAAGAGAAGAAACCCACAGGCTAGTCTTGAGTGGTTGAAATAGTCAGTTTTATAAATCTGGTCTTTCCTGTGGTATAGAATTTTCTCCGTTTAAATGTGGATATTGCTATAGCATTGAAATTGCTTTTTCCAGATTCCTGGATTCTGTGAAGGGGGATTTAAAATCAAGGTGACTGATCTAAAGGTGGATAAAGATTGCAATGTGCTGGTTGGTTTTAAAGCTGTCTATCGGATCAACTTTGCCTTGGCCATCTTTTTCTTTGTCTTCTCTCTACTCATGGTAAAAGTAAAAACGAGTAAAGATCCCAGAGCAGCAGTGCACAATGGGTACGTGAGACCTACTTTGTTATATTCTATTTATGTTGTTATATTATGGTATGGCACCTAACCTTCAGCAGTTAATATTGCCATTCTGATGGAAGCAGTAGAATATGTGAGTCAGTGAATGACCCAGTTGTATTTCTGACCTTTTACCCATGTTAAGTTATTTCAGTGTCATTTTCAGTCGGAGCCCTGTGGCATGGGGGGTGTGGAGGGAATGAGGAGAGTCTTGTCTTTTTTAATATCTTTGCTCAAGTTCCTAGGTTTTTTTTAACTAAACTCCTATGAAACAGTTGAAGTACTATATACTAGGCACTACACAGAACCATACACATTTTTTATTCTTTCTATTGATAAAAGACAAAGATGTACCTGATATATTTTTAAAGTATACAGAGAGATAAGCACTGAATATATTTGGGCCACTTATTTACATATTCTGTTGTTTCCCATTCTTGACCCAAGGATCTCCTTTTACATAATAATTCTCATTTGAAGACTGAACGTTTTGTAAATTTTCTATGTATTATAGTCCCATTTTTACAAATACAGTAATTGAATTTCAGCGAGGTGAAATAAAAAAAAATTGCCTGAGATTTTTCAGTCAGTGAACTTTGGAGCTAGGTTTGAAACTCAGGTCAGGCCAGTTGCAAAGCCTTATTCTTTCCACTCTGCCAATCAAGATATCTTTAAAGATTGGAGACTGAAAACCAGGTTTGGTCCTAGCTTTGCCAGTGGTGAACTGTGTGATGGTGGGCAAGGCACTTATATCCTATCTTGTAAAAGAAGGATTAGGTGATAACTCTTTAGCAGATCTAATAGTTAATTGCTCTATATTTAGCTAATAGTTCAGGACTGTCCAGAATTCTAGAAAAAAAAAAATCCTATCTTTAAGTACTAAAGTAGGGAAATTCTTAAGTTACATGTTTCTTATCATGAATGTGAATGATTTATTCTCTGTGCATATGTTTGTCCTTCAATTGTATGAAATACTGAATAAGGTGGCTTCATGTCAAATGAAGAAATAAGCCCAGACAGTTGTGTTGGAAATGCTACTAAGCCTTTACTTTTACATTTCAGAAGTTTGTTTTTTCCTCAGTGTAAGGGTGAAAATTTACATTTCACAAATGCACCTTTATATTTTATTTAGGTTTTGGTTCTTCAAAATTGCCGCCATTGTTGGTATCATGGTTGGATCTTTCTACATCCCTGGGGGCCCTTTTACCACAGGTATGGCTCACTAATGGCTGGCTAAGTATAATATATAAAAGTCTATAAATGATTGAGATAAAGCTGCATTTTTAATTACTGATTTTGTAGAACTAGCCATTAAATGAGGTGGAATCCAATTATATGACTTGGTACTAATACTTAGATACTAATTGATTGACTGAAGCCAGAAGGCATTCAGCCCACTTCGCAGCTGTTCTAGAGCCATATGTTAATTGTTTGCCAATTTTTTAATACACTTTCTCACATGGTAATACAAAGTTAATTGGAGATTTGGCCAACATAAGGACTTGTAATTCATGTGCTCTACTCTCCCTTTCGTAACCTGCTTACTTGCCGTTGCATCAAGTGATATCTGTGGATTTCCACTGTGTGTTTTCCCCCCCATAAAGGGAAAGGGCTTGTAGTACCATTGGGATGTCAGATCTTAGGCTCCCCTTGGCACAGGCTAGAACAAGTTTTAAAAGGTCTGAAACCCAACTGAACACTGTTTAGAATTGGAACAATCTTGGTGTACTGCTGGAGACAGAGTATGTCTTCACCAACTCACCTCTCTGTTACTTGAATTGAAATCTTTTTAGAATGTTGGACTAACTTTCTGAAATGTTACTTCTGTGGTAAAGAATAACTTTGTTCTTTTGGTTTATAGCTTGCTTTTTTATTGGTATGGGAGGGGCCTTCTTCTTCATCCTCATCCAGCTGGTGCTGTTGGTAGACTTGGCCCACTCTTGGAATGAATCATGGGTAAATCGAAAGGAAGAAGGAAACCCGAGGTGCTGGTATGCTGGTAGGTATTTGATTTAAACTCACCTATGAGAGCCATACTGCATTATGCTGCATTAAACACGGTGTATAATAAAAATCTCCATTGATTGAAATGTATAAACTCCCAGTGTAGGGCTGACTTTTTAAAAACTGTAATTTCCCAGTTGAGTCATTTCTGAGTTGTATGCAGTACTGGACAGGAGTAGCCCAGGTAATATAAATCATTGGATTCTCCCAGTTAATATATTTTGAGATTTGTAATGTAACTAGATGTGGTTAGATAAGGAAAAACAGTTGTTTTTAGTAACAGTTCTGGTTTTGATTTCCTTGTTCCCATGGACAGGGGATTCAGATGGGTTCTGTATGTGGGACAGCTGCCCATACACCTCAGGCAGATAAAGCATAACTTGGGGATATTGTGGTTCAGTTGCAGACCACTGCGATAAAGTGAATCAAGTGAATTTTTTGGTTTCCCAGTGCATGTAAAAGTTAAGTTTATACTGTACTGTAATTTATTAAGTGTGCAGTAGCGTTATGTCTAGGAAAACATTGTATAAAAAAGTAATTTATTGCTAAAAAAGAATCGTCAAGCTTTCAGTGAGTCATGATCACTGATCACAGATCACCATAGCAAATATAGTAATGGAAAAGTTTCATAAATTGAGAATTACCAAAATGTGACACAGAGATACAAAGTGAGCAAATGCTGTTGGAAAAATGGTGCCAGTAGACTTGCTCAGTGCAGGGTTGCCATAGACCTTCAATTTGTAAAAAATGCAATTATCTGCTAAATATCAGTAAAGCAAAGTGCAATAAATAGAGGTGTGCCTGTAAAGGTAAACAGTCCTTACTCCCTTAATCAGAGTGTCACCCCATGCCCCTGGTAAAAGCTTTCTGGTGGGAGAAGGGAAATTAACATTTCTAAGTTGAGAATAGAATTTTTAGCCTGTCATAACTGGGGGAGGGACATTGGAGCCCTCTACTTAATTAGGGTCAATGACCCAGCCATAACTCATTTTTTTAAATAATAGTTGAAAGTCTTTGCTGCTGTTCTTCTCCCATTATATGAATACGATGTTCAGTGTCAAGAACTCGAAAAGCCAGTAAGTTAAAAAGAAAACAAATTCCCTTATAATTCCAGTGTCCAGTAATTATTATTCACTGTTAATATATTAGTCTATATCCTTTCAGTCTTTTTTCTATGTGTATATATACATCTATGTAAAGAGAGGAAATAACATCATTGAAAAATATGTGTGAGATGTTTTGTATTTTATATTTTAAATGTATTACACATTTGAGTAGTTTGACTATTTTTAAAACTTAGGAATAGTTTGTGAATGTTTGGCTACAGTACAGCAATCAATGCCAAATAATATATCTTTAGGCAAATTTCTGATTATTTTCCTAGAATAAATTCTCAGAAGTTGCAGAAGTAAAAGAGTGAAAGGGTATGGATATGGATGTGTAAATGCTTTTAGTATATATTATCAAATTGTTTCATTTTCTTTTCATCTTATTTAGCTTGCTTTTTAAATGAAAAAAAGAAAAAAACAGACCCCCAAAATACTATGTTCACCATAAACAACACTGATAGAACTTTATAAAGAATTAAAAAATATATATAAATGATAAAACATGCAAATCTCCACCTACCTGAAACCCACTTTCCTTTCCAGATGTAACCACTATTACTGGACCTTTATGTATTCACATACCCATGTTTTTGTATTTAAATGTAAATAGGTTCATTCTATATATTGTTCTGTGACTTGCTCTTTTCACTTACTGTATAATGAGTTTATTCCATTCAGTCAATATAGTATGTCTTACCCATTTAATAGTTGCATGGTATTGCAGTCTATATAGTTCTGTGGTGTCCCATGGCATAGTATACCATAATTTATTTGACCGTTCCCCTATTTTTGGTCACTTTGTAATGACTATTTCAGCAAAATACTTTAAAAATTGTCTTTACCATTTATCATTGCAGGTTGAGAATCCTGAAACTCCTTCTTTACTTCTCTCTAAAAAATAATTTATTTTCTGCCTGTTTGCTTCTCTTTTCTGTAATTCATTTTGGATCACTATACTCTACCAGAATTTAATAATGAACTTCAGACTTGCCATACTTTGGAGCAACTAAAAATAGAGAAATCTTTTATGTTTACATGGAAAAACATAAAGAACTATGCTAGTAACTTTGTATACATTATCATTTTATAGTAACATATACATCATTTAATTTTAAACATGCAAAATTCATTTAGATTATAAGTAGAAACTAGTTTTCTCAAATAAGTTTGTGCTTTGAATGAAATATAAGTTAATTGAGCTCAACATTGTTACAATTTTCATGTTTTCTAATTTTCAATTACACAGCTAACTGTTGGTTATGCATGTGAAAAGAAAGGAACATAATTTTAGATATTTGAAAAAATCAAATGAGCCACTTTCCCACAATGATGTGGTGTCATTGTGATATGAAGCGGGGTTTAGGTAGCTAGTGACTGCAGAGAAAAACTGCCATGAGATACATCTCTCTCTTCCATTTTCTGCTAACACCATTCCTGGCATTTAGCTTACTGTGAACTGGGGGCCCATTTTGAGGGCACAGGAGTCTTATAGATTCCTAAGAAAAAGCTTATAACGCACCTTTTTTAGCATGTAGTTAGAGTTTACTCTAGCTGGAATGATCAAATGTCTGGTTTTTCAAGCCATGAAATCAACTTAGGTAATCCCAGGAAGTGAACTCAGTTGCTTGGTGAATTTTGGAATTTACCCTTGAGCCAACTCTCAACACATCTGAAACTTCAACCCTGGGAATTCTGTAATCTCACTGTAAATTGTTGACCACCATAAAAGTGAGATAATGCCTCTTTATTTTTATATTGAGGAGAAGAAAGTGGGTCTTCATTATAAAAGTATATTACAATTATAGGCATTCATATTGGTTTCTTTTTTTCTAGCTTTACTGTCTGTCACAAGCATCTCTTATATCCTGTCAATTGTCTTTGTCGCGTTGCTCTACAAACACTACACCAAACCAGATGGCTGCACAGAAAACAAGTTTTTCATCAGTTTTAATCTGATCCTTTGCATTGTGGTTTCTCTTATATCAATCCATCCAAAAATTCAGGTATGGCTGTTTGCTGCTGCTTCTGTGAAAGATTTTTTTTTCCTGAAAGATTTTTTATTAATGCTAAACTTGTAAAACCTAGGTAATCTTTTTATATGAATGTATGCTCTAATTCATCCACTCATTTTTTAACTACAAAATGTGCCATTGAGTACTTGTATCATAATTATGTGAATAATTTCCCTATCATTAAAAAAAAACTTTGGTGACTTGGGAATTTTTAGCTCTTACAAAATTCTTTATGTCATGAGAGTGATTCTTAGGAATCATTATGTAACCAAGATGTCTTGGAATTAAATGAGAAAAAATAATTGATTTTAATATTAAAAGCAAAACTCATGCCTTCTGAGTTTTATTTAATTACTGTAATATTTAAAACTCATGAAATTTTTAGATATGAAATTTGAAAAAGTGACAAACCTGAAGTTCTAGAGAGATGATGGGTCACCTAGTTAGTAAGCGGCAAAGCTGAGTTCAGATGCCACTGCGCTAAGGGATTAGTAAATCAAAACCTCTGTGTGATATTCAGGAATTTCCAGGGTTGTGAAATACCTTGAGAACCAGTAGTACATGGTTCCTTTTCCTTGGTTCTTTTTTGAGCTAACTTTTAGTGAAAGGTTACTTATCATCTTTGAACTGTCAAACACCATCAGGCTCTCAGTTAATAACAGTTCAGTGGGTTCCAAGGAAGTACACTGGATTTTTAGAAAGTCAGCCCTTTCAATTCCTGTGGTATTGTTTTCTTTTTGATTCCATAGGAACATCAGCCTCGTTCTGGCCTCCTGCAGTCCTCTGTCATCACCCTCTACACCATATACCTCACGTGGTCAGCCATGTGCAATGAACCTGGTAAGGGAATGTCAATAACACAGTCCTTTGAGGAAAAGAAAGGTCCTTTGGCGGGTGCAAAATCTAGAGTTAAAGCTAGTCAAACAAGCTAGCAAACAAAAAACTTCACTTACATGTACAGTGTTCACTGTCTGTTTGTAGATACTTACTTTTAAGTTGTAATCTCGATGTCCATGCATAGCTGACAGCATAAAGGACCACAGTCTTTTGTATAGTCTAGGTTTTTCCCTGGATTAAGAGATTAAGAGCTGGACAAGGCAACATTGTTATGACCCTTTGTAGAATTGTTTTAATTGAATTTTGTTTTGCTATGAAAGGGTCTAGAAGAAACAGCTGTAGGAAATCTTTTGTGGTTATTATCGGATTGTTTCTCACTCATTGAGGTATTCTATGGACTTGTTTTAAAGGAAACAAGTATTGCAGACCTTCCAATGATGACTTCACTTACTTTTATTGTATTCCTGTGTAACTAAAAACAAAATCAGGGATAAATTCTTGGTGCACAAAGCCTTTCTACAACTATAGAATCAGAAAGATCTACCAGTTAAACTTCAAAACCAGTGAAGTCAAGATTGACATTTATGAAATTTGACAAACTAAAACGAAGTCTCTGCTTGCAACACAAATATGTTACTGACAGCTACGTTTCTGGTTCTTTTAAAGTATAGCATTCCCATGTTTTACATCGTGCCTGAATGCAAGCACACCCATCATATCCTTTCTGAGAACAAGATGAGTTAATAACTAAGGATAATAACAAATTCCCATTTTCAGATCGTTCCTGTAACCCTAGACTGTTGAGCATCATTGCACATATGACTGCACCAACCTTGGCTCCTGGAAATTCAACTGCTCTAGTCCCGACTTCTGCTCCATCACCAACAAGTGGGCAGTTTCTGGATACAGAGAATTTTATTGGGCTGATGGTCTTCGTTTTCTGCCTTTTGTCTTCTAGGTAAGTTAAAAAGTACTTAGGACAAGGTTCTCATGAAAGTAAGAGTGAAGAAGCTGTTTTGCTTTCAAAAGGCAGTGCACGAAATTAAAACGATTTACTTTATTGAAAGTCCTTGACTTGCCTTAATTACCCAACGATGTGCATTTCAGTAAATCCTCTCATCAGGTAATTCCTTCCAGCCTTCCAAAGAGATACCTGTTCCTTTGTATAGGGGATAAAGTCCTTACCTGACCCTGGATGAACTAGAATAGTGGCTCTGAAATTGTCTTTTTATCTTTATTTCTTGATCATTGTAAATAACATCTAAACAACTACAGATAACATCTTTAGTTAATTCAAGATCCCAGATGTAATCTGTTAGCAGTTTGCAGTCATCCTCATATCCATTTGTATTGCTATTTTGTATATAATAGTGTATGTTACTTTAACAATTTAAAAGTATGAAATATTCAATAAAAACGGGCAAGGATATCAAAATATAAACTAATAACATGAGGGAGAAAAATATAAAGTAGGAAATGAAAGTATCCTCCCTCCAAACCTGCCTCTTCTGTGGTTAACTAACATTTTGGTACATATTATTTCCAGCTTTTTTCTTTGCTTATAGTTATTGTCTTTCAGTCTATCTGTATCTATATAATTATACATAACTTTATATATATCATTTAATATATAATTTTAAAAATAAATTAGGAACATACTATATAAATACATATACTATTCTGAAATAGGAATTAATCATAATTTGGACAGTTTTCTACAATATTATGTTTTTTTGTTTTTTTTAAAAGCTTAAAATAGGGTTTGGCAAACTAGAACCCTTGGGCTTGCTCCCTATTTTGTGAATTAAGTTTATGGAACACACCTGTATTAATTTGTTTTGATACTGTCTCTGAGTGTTTTTGTTTGTTTTGCTCTTGGACTACCCTTTTTTTCTTTGACATACAATCCACATACCATAAAATTCACCCTTTTAAAGTGTACAATTCAGTAGTTTTTTTCATATATTCACAGGATTGTGTGACCATCAGCACAACCAATTTTAGACTATTTCATTTCCCCCAAAATAAACTACGTACTCATAAGTAGTCAGTCCCCATTCCCCTACCCTCCAGCCCCTGGCAGACACTAATCTCCTTTCTGTTTCAGTAGATTTGCTTACTTAAAGGTTTCATATACATGTATCAGTTCTTAATTTCTTTCTGTTGGAACAAAATATTCCATTGTGTGGAATAATACCACATTTTATTTATGCATTCATCAGTTGATGGATGTTTGGGTTATTTCCACTGTGGGGCTTTCATGAATAATGCTGCTGTGAATATCTATGTACAGTTTTTTGCACAGATGTATCTTTTCACTTCTCTTGGATATATGCAGGAGTACAGTTGCTGGATTGTATGGTACCTGTTTGTTCATCTTTTTGAGGAACTGCCAAAATGTTTTCCAAAGTGGTTACATCATGTTACAGTCCTACCAGCAATTTCATTACCTCCTAATTATATTATAATTGTCTTTATGAGTGTAACCATTCTAGAGGATGTGAAGGGCCACAGCATTGTGGTTTTGGTTTGCATTTCCTTAATGACTAACAAGGTTGAGCATTTAAAAAATGTGCATATTTTGGCCCTTTGTATATATCTTCGAAGAAATGTCTCTTTAAATCTTTTGCCTATTTTAAAATTGAATTGTCTTTTTACTGTTTTTGTACATGGTTTGAGGTAAAGTATCCAGTGTCATGTTTATGTGGTTATTCAGTTGTCCGAGCGCCATTTGTTGAAAAGGCTATTCTTTTCCCCATTGACTTATCCTGGGCATTTTTGTCAAAATCCGATTGACCACACATGTAATGGTTTATTTCTGGACTCATAATTCTATTGCATTGATCTGTATACCTATCCTTATGCCTGTACTATTCTGTTTTCATTACTGTAGCTTTGTAGTAATTTTTGAAATTGAGAAGTTTGTGTCATCAGATTTTTCAAGATTATTTTGGTTATCCTGAGTCCCTTGCATTTCTATATTTTAGGTTCAGCTTATCAATTTTCTGCAAAAAGAAGGTAATTGAGATCTTGATAGGGACTGTGTTCAACCTGTTCACCAACTTGGAGATTATTACCATCTCAACAATATGAAGGCTTCTAGTCCATAACATCAGATGTATCATTTAGGTCTTCTTAATTTCTTCCAGTGGTTTTTCATTATTATGTCCTCAAACTTAATTTCGTTAAAATTTTTTCTAAGTTTTGTATTCTTTTTGATGGTATTGTAAATAAGATTGTTTTCTTAATTTATCTTTTGAAGCTCATTGCTAGAGTATAAAACTAGAATTAGTTTTTGTACCTTGGTCTTATATCCTGTAAGATTGTTTGTGGATTCTAATAGTATATGTATTCCTTAAGATTTTCCATATACAAGGACAGGTCATCTGCAGAAAGAGATCATTTTACTTATTTTCCTTGCCCAATTGCTCTGGCTGGAACCTCCAGCACAGTGTAGAATAGAAATGGTGAAAGTAGAATACTTATTCCTAATCCTAGGGGGAAAGCTTTTAGTCTTTCACTATTAAGTAGGTGTTGGTTCTGAGTTTTTCATGGACACCCTTTATCAGTTTGAGGAAGTCTTCTTTATTCCTAGTTTGAGTGTTTTTATCACAAGAAGGTATTATTTTGTTAAGTGCTTGTTCTGTGTTTGGTGAGACATCATGTGGTTTTTGTCCTTTATCTGTATGTACTTTTTTATTCAGTCCTTTAACAAACTTTTAGTGAGCATCTGCTGTGTGCTAGAAATGCATAGGCGACTAAGGTCATTGTTGTTAAGGAGTTCTGTGCACAGCAAGAGAGACAGGAAAGATGAGTGTTGTAGCAGAGGGAAGCATAGGACCTGTAGAAATTTAATCCAGCCTAGTGATGTCAAGGAAGGCTTTCTAGAGGACATGGCACATAGAGAATTGAAGGATGAGTAGGTTAGCTCAGAGAAGGTTGGTGGTGGTACATTCTCGGCATTGAAGAAGCACTTGGGAAGTCATGGAAGGAGACATGTAAAACTGTATTTTGGGAAACTCCTAAGCAGCTAAACCATTATGTAGTAACTTACGAGAGTGGTATCTGTCTTGTGATGATAGGCAACAGTTCAGACCTTTAGGCAGGGCCCTTCAGAAGGCCTTCAGTCTCCAAAGTAGGGGCAGTTCAGCCCTTCATGTCTGTAGACCAGTGGCAGCAGTTCATATCATGGCCCCTTTCTGATTTGTCTTCTTTGGGATCACTTTCCAGCATCCGTACTTCCAATAATAGCCAAGTAAGTAAGCTGACCTTGTCAGGAAGTGAGAGCGTGATCCTCCGTGATACAGCTACCAGTGGTGCCAGTGATGAAGAAGATGGACAGCCTCGGCGGGTTGTGGACAATGAGAAGGAGGGGGTGCAGTACAACTACACCTTCTTCCACTTCATGCTCTGCTTGGCTTCCTTGTACATCATGATGACCCTGACCAGGTGGTACAGGTAGGAGGCACAGACAACACAAATGGAAGACCACTGAGCCCCTTTGGGCTGCCTGTGAAATCTTCCATTATCCTGACCTCAGAATTTCCTCTTAACCATAAAATGAAGTGTTCTGTGTTCTTTTCTGAACTACTTTTGACTTTTTTCTCTTCTTAAATTCAAAATCCAGTTGGAATTCTTAAAGTAAAAATCATGGGTAGTTCTTCCAGATTTGAGTTACTTAAGAGAGAAGAAAATAAAGCGATCTGACCTGTCTTTGTTCACTACTTCCTCTGTGTCTAGGACGACCATAATGGAGATTCTGATCAAAGTAATAATGCGGTAAGGAAGGGAAGTTTCAGGGAGGCCATTTCAGTCTGGACTTTTATCAATATCCTGAACAGCCAAATGACCCTGAAGAACCATTTGTCTGCTGAATAGACAGGGTTTTTTATGCTGGCAAGAAGATAAAGGCTGTTTGAGAGGCAAAGTCCCCTGCTCATAGAAACTATAAATAGCAGTTTTCTCAAGTCCCTTCTAGAACATTACTATAGGGAGTAGTGTCAGCCAGGTTTCCACGGGGAACTTCCTGGCTTTGGCTGGGAGGCTGCTGGATGCTGGTAAGCCGTACCTTTACCTGACTCTTTTTCTGTTTTCTTAGCCCCGATGCAGAGTTCCAGAGCATGACCAGCACGTGGCCAGCTGTGTGGGTCAAGATCAGCTCCAGCTGGGTCTGCCTCCTCCTCTATGTCTGGACTCTGGTGGCACCGCTCGTCCTCACCAATCGAGACTTCAGCTGAACCTCTGAGAATTCATAAAGGTCTCCTTTGCTGAAACCCATTTCCCTTTTACTTTTGCTTCAACTAAAATATTAAGTGAATGCTTTGCAAATTTGCAAATTTGACTGTGAAAGGGCAAAATGAGCTGAATATGCTTGATGTAGAGTATGAACTTTTCATGTATATGTATATTGTTTATTTGTAAGGATATCGTGCAAAGGGAACATTTTTGCATTTTAAAGTGAACTTACAGCTGTGCTGTGAAGAGAGTTCTTTTATTAAGACCTATAGGTTCCTACAACTTCGATTTAAAATGTAGGATAGAAAAATGTTGGATATTTGAGACCATCATTAATATATTTCTATTGCAGTATCCTTTAAAAGTAAGAAAAAGAAATAATGTATTTCTATGACAGTTTTTCTCTGTGAAAGTCTTTACTTGTGTGATACAAGTATTCTGTTCTTAAGAGGTGTTGCATCATACTACTTGGGGGAAAGAGTATGTGTGTGGGTCCTTCCCAGAAGAGGTGTGGCTGACAGAGCTGCTGCTTCTACAGCTTGAGTTTTTTTCATTTACTTTTTTTAATACTACAGCATTGATGCTGCTTGATTTCACAGCTTGAGTTTTTTTCATTTACTTTTTTTAATACTACAGCATTGATGCTGCTTGATTTCAGTCTGTGGCTTTGCCAAAAGTATTAATTTCAATAAATGCTTTGTAGGTTTGGTTCTAATTTAGATTCCCCTGGGAAAACAGTACAACTTTTGTAACTATCTTGTTATGAATATGTAAAGGTAACATTGCATGTGCCTTTATTATATTTGTACTGTAAAAGGTATTTGATTAAAATAGAGACTTAATTTTAAGGCCCTTTCTTTAACTGCTTTTATGAGTTAGCCATTCTGTATTTTTTAGACTTACATGGTAGTTAGATTTATCAAGCATCTGACATAATACACTTACTCCTTCTGAAACTTAAGGTCTAACTGGTGAGTACACTCTTGAATTCATTAAAAAACTATGTGAATATCTTCTCTGGGTGAGACACTTGGGTAGATGAGCAACAAGGCAGGCACTGTCAGGAAACTTCTTCAAGAGCAGTAGCACACACACAGGTAGAATAATAGAACAGTTTGTTTTCTCAGCAGTGATTTCCTGAGTGTCTGTTTGTACCAGGTCCTGTCAGGTCCTGGGGTACAATTTAAAGTACAACAGACAGTGGCTTTGCTATCTTAGACTTAGATAAGACAGTGCAAATGAGTGGTCAGGTGGTACAATGTTGTATAATTAGTGCTGTGATGTGGGAATTAGAGAGATGCAAAGGAGAGTGCCTAGGATAAGGAGGTGTCGTGGTAGGCCTCCTGGAAAAAGCGTCTAAGCCAACAATTGTTAGGATTAGCTGAGCGAGAAATGGGAAGTGGGCTGTCATTACTGAAGAGTGGACACACTGCATGTTAAAGATAGATAAAACTTGTTCAGTAAATTTGACATGGGGAGAAGTGGGCAGGCCTAGGTTATGAAGGGCTTTGTAAACACATAGAAGAATTCGGACCTTATCTTGAGGGCAGCAGGGAGCACATTCACAGTGATGCATGAGCGAATTGAGTTTTCAGTCACTGCGGCTGATACAAAGAGTAGTTGAGAGATGAGGCCAGGCAGTCCATACAGGATTTGAAACAGAAGTGAAAGTGAGGATGGGGAGAAACTGACAACCAAGAGTTACTTAGTAATTACAGTTTAAAAATTAGCATTGGTCAGTACTGGGGGAGAGGTAAATTGCTGAGTGGTGCTGGTTTACTCACCTGGGCCAGTGGTGGTTCCATTCATATGGGGAGAGAGGCAGGAAGAGGAATGGTTGGGCTGGAAGGACGGAGGTGGTTCAGAGTGGCGAAGGACATTCAGGCTTGGTAGTCAGGCTGTTGGAGTTTGCATCCAGCTTTCCCATTTTCTGTCTGTCAAATCGGTCAGCTAGTTTTTTCTTGAGTACATGCTTTGCTTTATGACCTTGGGCAAATGACTGAGTTAAGGTGTTTTTCCATTTGAACAAAAGATAGTACATAAAATTGCTTAGAAAAAAAGTTATTGTACAAAGTGCTTAACTCATTTTAAGCACTCTGGTAGTAACTGCTAATCTCAATATGGGCTAAAATGAGACTCACCAGTGTTCGAAAGTCACCGAGATATTCAGCCAAAACCTGATGGAGGCTAGATGGGAGGTCTTCTTACAAAATTAAACAGATTGATCATAGAGGGGACAGTCTCATTTGGGGTGGAGGTGGGAAGTAGGGAGGCAGAGCTTGATACACATTGTTGGAACCACCATCTTTTAAACCAGTGGTTTATATTAGGTACAGAGATGAAGTTGCAAAGGACTTGAGATGCAAATAGGGGAGGTTTATCGCCTTACTTTGCTAGTGTAAAGCAGACACCCCATTTTTCTTAACAGCAAGGCTAGTCAGATTAAGACCTTTAAAGATCGTAAACTTCAAGAACATTTAGTGCGCCATCCCCCTTATGTAATTCAAAATAAAAGCAATATTAAACTGTAAAATAAGTGTAACAAAGTCCAATCAAGCTTTAATATTTTTCTCATGATAATTTTGATATTTGAAATAACAAATTTTCTTTAAAAATTAGGGGGCAGTGTCCCTGCTGTGCTTGGTTGTACCCTAAGAGTAAGTTAAGTTTACCTGTTGCTAGGAAACCCAGTAGTTACACTTAAGACTCAAGTGAACTACATATGAGTGCTGAATTATATCCAGCATAAATAATATCAACATTTGAGTAAGCCCAGGTCATAATTTAAAGCTGGGAAATACTGATTCATCAGACTTAATGGTGTAATTTCATTCCAGAGGACTCATGCCATGTTTCATCATGGTGAATGGGCCTGTCTATCCCCCAGGATTGCAGATTGAGGGCTCTGGCTTTGAGGTCAGCACTGTGCTTCAGGGAAGTCATCAAGGGCAACAGCAGTGGCTGCCACTGTTACCTAGTTAGAGCTGGTAGAAAGCTTATAGGCCCATGTAGGCCCTGATGGACGTTTACTTTCTAGGTTGGCCTTACAGGGTACTCAGTTGGGAAATAAAAGTTGCTCTTGACAATCAAGGGTAGTGCCAAAAAATGACTATGGACCTGGTTATTGGTGCTTTTGATGTTCTGGACCAAACCATAACTCAGGCCTAATTTAAACCAAGATGGCTTTTTGTCCATTACAAGTCCTTGCTTAATTGTATTTTTCTTCTTATCTATTCAAGCTAAAGTGAATGTTCAGTCATATGAGTCATGCATTTGATCTCTGCAGATTGATAGGAATCAGACTATGTTTATTAATGGGAACTGCTATTCATTTCTTTACTCATTTTGTGTTTGTCTATCTATCCTGTTACCTAGGAAACCAAATCAGGCAGCCTGCTCAGTGGTGTCCTCATTACTGTAGATGACTCAAGTCACATGATGCCTGTATCCTCAGGTGAAGAATAATAGGTACCACAAAATAGCTGTATGTAGCCAGCAATGAATAGACATTGGGCACACCCCTGTAAGGTGGTGATTTTTCTCACCTTTTTACAAATCACACTGAGGCTTAGAGAAGTTAGTGACTAGCCCAGTTACTCAGTAAGAGGAGAAACAGAAACAAACTTAGGGCTTAGCTAAAGAGTTCTTTTTTCAATTAGACCCTGTTGTCTCTTGACCTGTAAGAATATAGGAGACAAGATAACTGGAGACTGCTTAGAGACATGTAGGGGTCAGCTGGCTCTCTGAACTACCCATCACTAATGAAAGTTAGTAATCCCCGGAGGGCAGTAACTAGTATCCTAATTAGGTCAGTATATCCCTAACAGCAGGCACCTTACTAGGTAAGAGGGTGAATATTTGTTTAGAAAATTCTTTTTCCAGAAAAGTGGCATCTAAAGGGTTTTATTACTCACCAGCTTTTAAAATGAAACATTTGCTGCCATTGTTACAGGAGTGCTAAACCAGAGCTTTGTGAGGAGTGGGCAGTGGGGGAAACCAAAGGGTATTTTAGAGAAGAAACTAGAAAGTGCAGACTCATAACATGGAAGAGCATTCCATGGCTTATAAAGTGCCTCAGTTTGTCCTTGTAACAGTGCTATATGGCAAAAAGGAGCCATGAGCTCACTTTTCCAGATGTGAGAAACAGACTGAGTTTAAATCCCACAGCTTCCCTAGGAAAGGCTGACCCAGAGAGCTGGTATATTACAATGTAAGCACCCAACCTCTGCTGCATCATGAAAAGCCAGTGGTAAGTGTACAGACAATCCTATGTGAGAGTATTTCTCACCTGACCCGTCACCAACACACCAGACCGACCATGGGGACCTAACTTTGTCTCCTATGGGGCAAAGTGCACACACCTCTCAGAAACAAGCAGAGCAGATAGAGAAACAGCTAGCATGCATGGGATCAGAGCTGATCAAGCCATACCTAGTTACCTCTCAGAAGTCTGGCTTTACTTACAGGTGCTTCCAGAATAAAATGTGCAATTACAACTTGGGTCTCAGAGGTTAAGAACCTCTGCTTTACATTTTCCAAGAACCCAGAAACCACTTTCCCATTGTATTCTGTCTGGGGGCTAACCACAAGAATGAGAGTCGTGCACAGCCTAGCTCCAACCATCAGAAGGAAGTACTGGGCTCCTGTCAGACTGCCTGGCTTTGCATCCCAGCTCTACGTCTTGACTGTGTCCTTGGGCAAGCTGCTTGACTTTTCTGTGCCTTGTTTCCCCTAGAGGGGCACTAATACTACTTCATTAAGTGTGCCTGGAGATTAAATGAGATTTCATATGCTAACACTTAACACAGTGGACGCCCAGTCTGCACAAACCCTTGGGAATTGTTAGCCATCTCTGGAAGGAGTCATGCCCAGTCCAGAAAGTACAGCTGGGCCTTGAAAACTGAAAACTTTGATTGTGCCTACCCCTGTGTGCAGCTGGCATCTTCTAATTGCACATGATCTTGAGAGGCAGCCTGCCCAACGTCCGCAGAATCACTATGCTGCCACAGTGCCCTCCCGCCCCGCCTGGAGGGGGCTCTGCCCAAGCCAGCAGGTAACTATGAATAGTAAGACCTTTAAGCTGTCATTGTCACAGAAGAAAACACACACACTTAGTGTTACAGGGATTTTTATTGTTTAAGACCCAGTCATGCATACTAAAATTACATGTTTTCACCACTTGGACTTAGAAAATGCACTAGAAAAATAAACTTTTGGTCAAAACAAACGTGAAGTAGATGAATCCACTACTATGTGTCCCTAAACTCAAAGCCAAATGGAATTTCAGTGTGAAGTGAGGAATGAACCAGTGGCTGACAAACTCCTCAGAAAATTAGCCCACCTCCCACCCTGTCAGGATGCTGTCAGGGGATCTTGGCCCCAGAGGCAGGTATTTCACTTGTAGCAGGTTACTAACTGCTAGGTCAAGAGGCTGTGGCGTATCCACAGGAATCACCAGTGGCAGCTGACTTACTCCCTGACTACCGTGCCGCCCAGTGAGAAGAAAGGAAAAGCAGCTAACTGGCAAAAGTGAATCATCACTAGTATCTCCATCCACAGGTCACGCTGAGCTTTTCCCATGGAGCAAGTGCTGTTGAGTATATGACTGAGGACATCTGTTCCTTAAGGCAAACGATTTCTAGTCAAGTGAGCAGAAAGGAATTTACTTTGGATTTACAAAATTTACATCCCAATGCTGAGGCCTTACCAGGATGGGCACCTTTCTTGAAGTTGATGTTTTCTGTTTCGTATATCCACACCTCTCATGCCACTGGAAAGCCACACTTACATCATTAGCTTAGGTAACATTTTATTTCCTCAGTGAAAAAAAAGTTTCAAAGGAAACCTTAAAAGCTTGTAAACTTTAAAATGAGGAATGACAATGGGACTATCGCTCTGCCTACCCACATGAAAAAGTTACCCATGACTGATCCAAGACTCAGATGGCATTTAAGGGAACTTCCCACCTAGGGAGAACCCTGAAAATCTGGATCTCACAGGAATTGAGGAAAAATACCTCTTACTGCCCTGACTTTCTCTGTAAGAAGGTACTATCTTGTGCCTGAAGAGTTTGTTAAGCCTCTTAAGGACGGGTGGCTCCTTGTGAAAGCAGGATGAAGTACGGAGGAAGCTAACACCACTTTTGCCAAGAGCAAGTAAACCCAAAGAAGGGAAAGCTAGGGTTGCACTTTCAGCTGTTTCTGTACATTTCTTCCAGCCTGTCCCTGTGAAAGCAAAAATAGGATCCACAAAAAGGCACAATTACAGAATTTTGTGTAGAAGAGGGAGAAAACCCCCATATTACCTAAGATTACAGATTAATTCAGACCTGCATTTCCTAAATAACCCAGATTGTGAGGGAGAAGGAAGGGAGCCTCTCAAGAGAGAAAGTACAGTGTACTTGGCGGTAAAGCCAGCTGTTGCCAGGAACAAAGGGTTGAGAGTTCCGAGTAGAGTCGGATCACCTTTACCATGTAATTTCAGGAGTGTGAATTGAGTGGCTCATCCAAGACCACATAGCCATGTAAAGCTGGAACTCAGGTATGATACACTCTTCCTTTCCCTTCCCTACACACTAACGTGAATTTAGAGAAAATTTAGTTTTCAGGTGTTTGTGACACAGGCTAGAGCTTTTTCCTGAAAGAAATACTCGCAGATTCTGATGCTCAGTTAGGTGTGTCAGTGTGTTCCCGCTGCTGCATAAGGTGCGCTGCCTGCCTCCTAGCCATCCCCCTGCCCTGCTGGGGTGACTTTACAAACACCCGGTGGAGCCACGTGAAGGCTGTCTTCATTTTCACCCAGGGAAGGTCCTGGTTTTTGCAGCTTGATCCAAACCTCCTGAGGTGCCAAAATGATCTCTCTTTGGAGCCAAAATAAAGCACAGGAGCTCCAGAAGACAGACAAACCTTGGCTCTGACTCCTTTTAGAAGCTGAACAACGTGGCTCCTTGGTCCGGCTGGAGAGGCCTGGGAAATGGGCAACATCCTGGTTTTAGAGATACTCCCCTTTGTGCTGACCGTCCCTCTGTTAAGTCACTGAGACAGAGGCAATTGGCCAGGAATGCAGTGCAGAGTCTAAACCTTGGAATCCTGGTGTGGTTGAGAGATTCACTTCTCTGCCTCACTTTATTTTGCTTAGTTTTTTAATCTCTTTCCTCTTTAGAATGAAACCCTCTAATTAGTTCTCCCATCCAGGCAATTAGATTCTGAACTCTTATTTAGCTATCCCAACTTGTCCCATTTAGAACTTTTCAGCAATGCTGGTCATGCCAGCATTGTCAGATGGAAGCACAGGCAGCCAGGGATGTGCATTTTGGCACTTCCAGCTCCACCATGTCCCTATAGGATCCAGGGTTAGTATGCGTGGTGAAGAGAGCCTTCCCTAGAATTGGCACTAACGAGGTAAGGAATTTCATCAACTTTTCCAGACATTTTTAAAAGTGCTATAAAGATGAACAGCTTGTGAGCAACAGACTGGCCTTTGAATTTCAAGGTACTGTCCTCTCCTAATGGAGCTGTCCACCTTACCAGGTGGCCTAGTAATGCACAGAGAAGGGACACATTGTACTTGTCACTGTTTAACACCATAATTTGCATGGAATGAATATGAAAGGAAATAGGTCAAAAGCCACGAGATGAACCACCTTAATATGATGTTTGGGCTAAGGCTAAATTCTTGACAAGAAGAGTCTAAAGTGCTGAAATGCAGAACTAACATTCAGTCTGGCTGGATGAACTAAAGTCTGTCCACCCACACCAGAGAGAGAAACTCAAGTGTGCTTGGGAGAGTGGGGGTCCCAGCAGTAACCGACCCTTGTATTCATTTCCAGACACCAAAATTTAAGAATCCCAAGTAATTTGACCATTCCCCTGTTTGCCAGGTTTATAATATATCACCAGAGCTTCAGGGATGGAAGGAGTGTATACAAGAACCTGATGATCTCTCACCTGCCCTCACAAAAGCCATCCTTTGCAAGTTTAATCCTCACTACAAAAAAGGATGTTGATATTGCTGAGTCCCAGGTAAATGTTCATCCTGGTTTCTTTAAAAGCAGGGCCAAATATTGATAGCCCTCTTAGAAAGACCCAGATGTACCACAAAAAACAGGATTCAACACTGCATCTGAACAGTCATCTTTCTAGGCAGAAATCCGAAGTCTAACATTCAATAGCTAAACGAAATCCCAGAACTTCACCAGCCAAAAGGGTCCTAAGCATCATTTCATCCCATCCCATTTTACAGATGAGAAAGCTGAGGCCCACAGAGGCCCAGGTCTTATCCACAGTCATACCTCTGGGGGTGGAGCCCAGGTCTCGTAATACTTAAGCCAAAATTCTTGGAGCTACACAGGCCTGTAATGCAGTATTTTTGGTTGAGAAATATCACACACCTCCGGGATCCCGTATGATTCTGCTGAGAACCAGGGCTAAGGCCTTGTGTGTCCAGGAAAGCTTGTGTCTATTGCAAGAGTCACCCAATGAATCCCAGTGGTGCTTGGACGTCTCTGGCACTCGAATTGGATTTGGATCAGGAAGTGCTGCTTGAATCCTGATGCCTGGGGTGACTGAATTAAGGTACTTTCAAAACCCAGGAATGGCAACAGGCCTGGACCTCAAACTTGAAGTTTCTGATGAGCAACAGAGGTCTATATAGTCAGGATTCATGTCAAAGACACAAACTCCCATAGTCTCATGTGTGGCCACCCTGCAGGCTTGGCTGAATTATTTCATAACAAGCACAAATTGCACTGACTGGCCAATTGGGTCATTTTCTCCTGGAACATGGGGCCCAAGTGACTTTGGTCCTGACTTCCCTTGCTTTGAGATGTATAGGAGCCAGATAGAACTTCCAGATTAATGTTTGCAAATTGGATTCCAAATGTTTGGAAATCCCTGGGATATTTTCCACATCTTCATGTACTAATACAAGTAACCCAGGGTTCACCCCATGGCTCACCCTCAGAACTGGGCAGGCTTTTCTTCCCTGCTGCAATTTAATACAAGGAGCAAAACCTCAAGTTCTGCTTGTGCCTCTCCAAAGAAAAAAGGAAAGGATTTAAAGAAGGTGGCACTCACAGGGGACTGGCTAATAACAGGAGTACAGCTGTGATTTCACAGCCCTCATGGAGTCATCACACTGCGTGTCTGAGGTCAGCCCTTCGGACAGCGGGGCCTCGCCCAGGATGCTGTCAAAGGCAGGGACAGGTTGGCAGAACTCTCTCACAAAGTCCTCCTCCGAGGCCAGCAGCACCGCGTTCCAGGCAGAGATGTCCAGCTCTCCAGCCGTGCCCCCATATTCCTTGGGGAGAATGCTTCTTGGAAGGTTTGTGTGGAGAGAGTTCAGGTCAGACCCATGGAGGAAAAACTACAGGGGAATGAAATGAAAACACACACGTCCTCAGGCTATCAGTAATTCAGGAGCCTGCGCCACAGTAGGTGCTCATATCACTATTTGTTGGATGAATAAAGGAATGGTTGGTGGCCACTTTACCCTTCCAGTTCCTGCAAACTGCTTGAGGACAGTTTAATTCTCTTTTCCTTATACCTCATGCCCTATTGGCTGATCCTTCAAGATATATCCAGAATCTACCCAGTTTGCTGCCACCCTGATGGTACCATGCCACCATCACTTCTCACCTGGATTCCCACGACAGTCTCCAACCTGGTGTCCCTGCTCACACCCTTAGCTCTGTTCACTGTAAGTCAGACCATGTCATCTTCTGTGTACAACATTCTGGTGCTCCCATATCACACAGACTAAAAGCCGAAGTCCCTACAGTGGCCCTCAGGGCCCATCACAATCTGGCCCCTGTTACTTCTCTGCCTCCTCTTTGCCCTCTTCCCGTTGGCTGCTCCTCCAGCACACTGGGCCTGCTGCCACCTCAGGGTCAGGCCAATGCTGGTCCCTCAGATATCTGTAAGGCTACAACCCTCATCACTTTGAAGTCTTTGCTCAAATGCCAACTTCTCAATGCCACCTATAATCCCCCTATTGAAGCCTATGACCCTCTTCTCCTTTTCACCACTTACTATATCCCCTTTCTCTCTTTTATTTCTCTCCACAGCACTTACCACCTTCTAATACTAGAGCACATACATAATCTGTTGTCTATGTGTCTGGAATGTGAGCTTCCTGGGGGCAAAGATTTTGGTCTGTTTTGTTCATCTAGAACGTACTTGTAAATAGTAGTTGATCAACAGATATTTTTGAATGGATGAATGAACATAGGAAGGAACAAATGAACAAGATGATGGGCCACAAAGAAAGTCATTTCACAGATGTAAAAGACCTGGTCCAAAGGCTGCTTTGGTAAAAATAGGTTCCAAACAGGATCTCCAGGTACCAACATGGGTAAAACAGGGAGGCCACTAAATCAGCAGTTCTCAAACTAAACTGAGTCACCTAAGGAGATTTTAAAAGCACAGATTCCTGGGCTCCACCCGTGAACTGATAAGTTAAACTCGAGGGAAAGGGCCTAGGAATCGGATCTGGATTTTACATTCTCTCCCTTGCAACCTTGAGAAGATTCTCCATGTTTCCTCTTTGAAAAGGAGTATAAAATTCAAGACCTAATCTTTGGAGTGACCACAGTGTTCCTAGGCCTAGGGACAAAGGAGAAAAGGAGAAAAATACCACCTATCACATTTGAAGTACAATATTGGGAAAAGTTGAAAGCAGCTTTTTGGGGCTTAGAAAGAAAAACCATCATTATTAAAGTGCCATCTACCCTTTCTGATAAGAGTTAAGCTAAAAGCTCACATATCTTATAAACCTTGAATTACTCTACAAACTAGAGTGAGACAACACTTCAGGTAAACGGAAAGACTTAACTAGCCTTTTTAAACCCCAGGGAGCTGTAATACGAAATTGCTGTAACTCTTTACAACTCCCTGCCCAATGACTACCCTCTTCAATGTCCCTTTACACATAAAATACAATGTTGGTTCACAGTGCCCAGGCCAGGATATTAAGAAGTCTATACAATTTTAGAACAGGGAACCTCTTACGATAATCCTGGCTCTGCTCTCTCTACTGTCAAATATTCTTACTGATTTCATCTAACCTTCATGGAAAGAATTGTTCATTTATTTTACCTGTAACCCTGTACTTTCCAAATCAGTAGTCCCAGGGTAAAAATAACAAACTAAGATAAATGTATTGATGTCACAAAAAATATATACATGTCACAAATAAGGGAGAAAAAAATTAAAGTATCTTAAAACAATAGGACCGTCACTTACTCTGTTCGCTATTTTCTCCTTCAGAAATGGTTTAATGATGGCAAAAATGCCTTTAAATATTCGAGGTTCATTCACCACATGAACTGCTTTTATCCGAATGGGGAAACCATCCTGTGGGGGAAGGGAACAGGCTGTTAGCACATGTGGAGTGTCTGCAACTATCCACTCCCATTTAAATCTTCTTCATTTTAGGCCCCAATATCAGTCTGATCTGATTCTTGTGGCCTCGTCCAACACAGCCTGAGTTGGGGATAAACAGGAAGGCAAGCCTCAGGGAGAGTCCCTCTAGGAACCCAGAGCTGGGTTAAGAGAGAGTAGGGCAAACGAGTGGAGAGCTGGTCCTCTTGTGGCAAGAAATGGTCTGACCCTGTATGGGTGGATCTAGCAAGTATCAGACCTGGATCAGTGGGGCCCAAAGTCTGTTTCTTAGAATGGTATTAAGTGTGAGACAAAAAAGGGTTCCATGGTAGGTAAACAAGTTTGAGAAACACTAGATTAAATACAATCAGTCTTCCTTAACTGCAGGACTATTCAGAGCTTTTACTATGCAAATGTTTATGGTAAAATTGGCAAGAAAAGGAACAAGCTACACCGCATCCCCCAAATTTACTAATCCTGGAAATTTTTCTCCCCCCAGATCGTCTTACAGGTCTAGAAAAATACTGATCCAAACTCATCTGGACACTGAAGCCCCCCAGTATTTAGCAGGGGCATCCAAAGAGGAGTGGAAGCCAAGGGGAGCTGGAGTACTGGCACGTATCTGATCACAACCAAATGTGACCCTCAAGTTTAAGTAATCAGCCTGGTGAACAGTAGGGGCTCACACACTGTGAAATTCCATGAGGACTGTTGTATCTCTGGTGCCCCCCACAGCTCACGAGAGACAGCGCCCCATGGGCTGGGTCAGAGTGCAAGAGTTTTCAAAGCTGTTGGAGCTGAGAGACCTGGGCCAGGCCACCCTCCAGTCCTCAGTTTTCCCATCTATCAAAAGGAAAAAAATCCTTCCTGCCTTGTCCCTCTCACTGGATTCCCTGAAGGACTGAGTGGGTTATAAGGACTGTGAAAGTGCTTTGCGAACCATTCAACCCCGAGCAGACACATAAGGAGCTTTACAGTTCCCAGCAATTCAAGCCTTGCAACGCAGAGCAAGAGATATTAAAGTATCTGGCCAAAGCAGTCTAGCAGTGCTCCATGGCCCCAGGTCCTGTAGAAGGCAGAAGAGGCTCTACCACCTCAGGTAGAAGCATTTCTTTGGTTTTTTGGTCTCATGCCCTAAAGCTGTTCTTGCCCAGAATGAAGGTTCCTCAGTAACTACTGGAAATCCTGATGAGAATGAGTGGTAAGTAGGAGTTTTACATTTCTTCCCATAATGCTTTTGTATTGTGCTGATTGTAGGAGTGGGAGGTCAGGTTTGTGTGTAACTTGAGATCAGCTGTAAATGGTCAGGGCCCCCAGGAAGGCCACAACAACCACAGAACAGACAGACAACAAACAGGGGCCATACCTGAAGGATGCCAATCACCTTTTTGGCTATAAAAGGACCGAAGTGAGATGCTTTTGATAAGCTCACTCCTTTGTAGTCTGCAAGAATTACAATTCCATTCACCTGGGTTTCTTCAGATTGAATGAGTTTTTCTAATGTCAAATATACAGCTCGGATGTTTTCAGTAATTGGGTAGTTGCTTGGTATCCATCTGTCTTAAGGTCATAAGAGATGGGTGGTACGTTACAGAAATGAATACAAACAAGTAATTAGACAGGCTAAGATTTATCTCCTTACTAAAAACTTTAAAAATGGAAAAGAAAGATACCCTGCTGGCATGATTCTGTTTAGGACAGTAAATGGGACACCCTAAGCAGCAGCTGTGTTTCTTAACTCTAAACACAGTATCACATTCTGAAATGGAAATGCCATTAAATGTTGAAATTAAAGGCATGAGCTCTGAAGTCAGACACCTCTGGGGGTGTGAATCTTACCAGCTGTGTGACCTTGGGCACGTTGCTTTCTCACTCTGGCCTACATCTCTTCAGTAGAATGGGATAATAATACTTACCATAATGGACATCTGTGCCTTCTGCCCTGCCATCAGGTGTGTCCCCTGATCTTCATACCACCACCCTGGTTTTCCTTGGTGAACCACCCCTTCCCATGTTAGCCATGCAGTTTGGGTAAAACTGACTTGACTCCTCGCTCCAGATGTGGGCTTGGTCAGTCTGGGTTTGACATCCTCCTGGCCGCAGTGTGTGATCCAAGCCAGGTCAAGCAGAGCTAAGGGGACTTAACTCTGGGACCCTGGCCCATTGGAAAAAAAAGATCTCTCTTTCCTCTTAGAGTGGTGAGGCTGGAAGCCTGAGACTCAGGGGCCCCGTGAGGTCAGAGCTAGCCTGAGAATGAAGCCACACCAAGGACAGCAGAAATGCAGACAGCTTTCCAATGGCATAGTTGGAGCAAATTCCCCTTTCCAGGCCAGATGCTCCTTTAGTACTCCCCGTATAATTAAGGAGTCTTTCCTTTCTTTGGGAAAAGATGAAAATGACACCTTTTACCTGTTAACCACTATTCTCAAGAACAGTCAACCAAGATCTGTGTGTCCCTTTCTTAGAAAGATAAAACTTCATGATCGCCACCAATGTAATATGTGCAAAATTACTATGAAAAAGATCTCTGTCCAAAATTATGCCAGCTTGCTGTTTTAATGTTGTTGCCAATTAAACCTGCTTCTACAGAACTGGATGTCATCCCTCTCAATCACATATGTCTCAAAAGAGATTATGAAAAGCAAAGTCAATACCCTGTTGAGAACAAAACCTTCTGAGCATGCGCCTCTTGAGGGTAAGTTGGTAGGGAGGGGGTCTAGATCTGCTCCAGACATACAGGGGCAATATTTCATCTCATAAGCAAAGGGGTGAAACCACTCAAGGAAAGAGCTGAAATCACTGTGGTCATATCTGACACTGTTTTGTAATGTTCTTATGAGTTGAGTGCAGAGGAGCAGCAGAAAAACCCTCTGTTTTTTTCTCACTGGTTTCTAAGTCTCCTGGTGCCCTGAAATTGCCACTGCATCACTTGTTTTAAAATAAACACCCCTCAGGCATAAAAATACAAATACATTATGATTTCACTCATTTGCAGAATATAAAGACAAAGCAAAACAGAAGGAACAAAATAGCATTAGACTCACAGACACTGAGAAGTGACTAGTGGTTACCAAAGGGGAAGGAAGGGGGGTGGAGGGTGGGGGAGGAGGACTATTGAACCACTGTGATATACATTTGATAAAATAAAATTAAAAACAAATAAATTCTGTCCAAATTTCCTAATTTTGGAAATTGCCTAAAATAGGTAAAACAGTTGACACTGTGCATGGTTCATAGGAAAGACTCAAGAGAAAGGTTTAGTCTCCAAAGAAGGTTTGGTAAAATGACTAAAAGAAAGAGTGATGTGGGGCTTACTGGCAGAGTCAAGTGTGCGAAGGTTTCCAGCCCCATCAGGCTTCCCTTCAAGAGGAGTTTGTCCGTGTGAGCAAAAGAGGGCTGCCAGTACGTCCTCATTTTTCTGGCTTGGGTGGGGAGCATACTGCTATCTTACTTTCAAATTTTTTCTCAGCTCTGGTCTGATGGAAAACGTTAAGGCCTTGGGTGGAGGGGAGAACACAGAGTGCCTTGTGCATTTGGTGTCATGGGAGAGAATGGAATGACGGGCCAGAAGGCCCGGGTCCTAACATCCCTTGACCACTGTGTCAACCAAAACATTCCCACACATTTCTGAATGCCTTGTGGGGGAGGGGACAGGGAGCTGTCCCCAACTGAAAGCTACTGTGCCAAAGAAAGGCAAGCTGTTCTGATTACTGTCATGAAGCACTGAAATCAGAAAGTGAATCTAAAGAGAATCTTTACAAGAGCTTAACAAAGTAGAGGAAAGGAAGGGGGGGGAGGAGGAGGAGGAGGAGGCACTTGGAAGACAGACTCCTCTCCAGCTGTCTGCCCAGCCCACGTCCCTCACCTACTTACAAAGGAGGGATGCGGCTGGGGATCCTGGTGGCCTTGCTTGGACCCTGTGACCAGGGCAGCTTTCTCAGCCCACCAGATTCTCAACCCCAGGAAGCTGGCATCTTCAGTGAAGGAACTTAGTTGGGTGGCCAGGTACACCTGGCAGCTAAAGGGTGCCAGATCTGGCCATGTGCACAGAAGCAGCAAAGGCCAGTCTACAGAGAGAAGAGTGAAGAAGAGAGGGAACAGACAGCAGAAATGTGTGGCCCAGAGATACACAGGCTGCCAGGCAGGGTAATGGCCATCTCAGCTCCTCCATTTCTGATGGGGGATGAATTGGAATCTGGTTCTGGGCTCCAGGGCCTACTGAGAGCTATTGCACCTTCAGCTCACTGTTCTGTGAGATGCATCTGTCTCCATAGACTAAATCCTCCCTTTTTTCTTAAGCCAGATTGAGTAGGTTTTTGTCATCTGCAATCCAAAGAACCTTGACTAATACAAAGAGGGGACAAAAGAGGAGAGGGGAAGAGGGTGCTGGACTGACACCTCCCAAACAGAGAGACTGTCCCCACATGCCCCACCACCGTCTAGGGCAATACCTGGGCGGATGCAGAGGATATGGCAGCCCCGGGGGTCGGTGTGGGGCAGCACAGTGAGGAATCCAGAAGCGAGGACATCTTTTAAGGCCGACGGCTTCAGGTTATTGAAGACTTCAGGCCAGCTTCTCCTGCAGCTGTGGTAGTTGATCAGAAGCTGCAGGGCCCGGTCATAATCAAACTTGCGGGCTCGGAGGAAGCGCAGCAGGAAGGCGTCGTCCAGAGAGGTGCTCAGGTTCGGGTACTCCTTATGCACCATGTCACGGAGGGCCTGGACATCACGGAGCCTCCACTCCGGCTTCTCCTGCAGCTCTTCCTTAGCTTTGGTGACCAGTTCTTCTGTCAGTGAGCACACATAGCCAGGAGGCTCACGTGGTGGCGGCAGCTCATTTTCGGAAAGTGAGGCCGCAGAAGGGCTGGTTCTCAGAGAGTCACTTTCTTCTGACATTAGCAGTCAAGATCCCTGTCAAACCAGAAGCCCGAGCAAAATGAGTAAAGCCCAGCACTGCACATTTCGCACCCCGGGGTGGCACGACAGAGGGACAGTGACACTTCCGTCAAGCCAAGGAAACTTGGAGCAGTGGTTCTCAACTTGGGGAATGAACTGAATCCCGACCACATACACAGGTCGAACGCCATAGACTGAAGTAAGTTAGAACCTCTACGGAGGCAGCCAGGCAGCCACAGAAGGAGACACACTCATCAGCAAACACCACGGCCTCACTTACAGGAGTGTGAGTGGGTGCTCAACCTCACTTGTAATTAAAGAAAGGTGATTTTAAAACAACTCTGAAATTCAGATTGGTACAAACACAAAGTGAGCATTCTGATATGCTTGCCGTTGGTGGGAGAGTAAACTGATACAGCCTCTCTAGAGGGCACTTAGTCAATTTCTGTCAAAATTTAGAAACACATGCCCTTTGGCTCAGCATACCAATTCTAGGACATACACTTCTATGTGCGAACAAAATATACACACAAGGCTGATCATTACAAGTACGATTCTAATAGGAGAAAACTGGAAACACTTTATACCAGTTGGACCCTGGTTAAATATTCTATGAAGTACTCAGTCATGATATTTATTCTGTCAGGAAAAGGAATTAAGCAGATCTTTATGAACTGACACATTAAGCAAAATGAAAGTAGGTTGCAAAACTATGCATAAAATAACTATATATTTAAAAAATATGTATATATACTTGTGAATACACCTAGAATTTCTGGAAGGAAATACAAGAGAACTGTTATTAATGGTTCCCTCTAGGGAACAGAACTAGACAGTTGAACATTTAAGGAGGGATAGACTTTTTACTGTACTTCCGGATTTTTAACCACCTATGTGTGGCTGTGAAACTGGGCTGATCACATCTCTGCTGGGGTGGAGCATAACTGAGAAATGGCCCCAGCTGCTGTCCCTCTGGTCCACCTTTCAGTGGATGCTACACTTTCCACATACTGTCCCCAGCCAATGACTGAGTAACACGTGGGACTCTTCCAACAGGTAACTGCCTCGAGGGCTCCCTGTCAGCTTGGCGGGGGAACCTTTCAGGGAACTGCACTACAGTCCCAGACCTTCTGCCCAAACCTCCCTCCCAGGAGCTGGACTTGTGTCGGCAGGTGAAGGCTCTCCCTGACTTCTCCAGATCCCTTCCCTTTTATGTTTCACAGGCATTGCCTCCAATAAATTTCTTGCATGCCTAATCTCACTAGTGTGTACTGCTTAGAACATCTGAATGAACTTCTTGAAATTTTCTGAATGAAAAACAGAAACAAAACAGCTGCCTTAGATATTGCAGGAATAAGGCAGCAGCAGGCTGCCAGTTCCAAAGCCAAGCTCTTGTGCCTGGGCTGTCACTGATTTCTGACTCAACAAGGCAGGCAGGGACCATCTTAGGGGTCTGTGCGCATAGCCAGTGACCAGGTCACTCCCTCTAAATCTTAGTTCTGCCTACTCTGTGCCTTGTGTTCTAACCTCCAGCCCCACCCAGCTTTTCTCACTTCCTCCCAAAGGTGTGGTGTCTTGTGCACATCCTGTTTCCTCTGACTAGCATGCTCTTCCCTCAGTCCTTCACCTGACCAATACCGATTCACCCTTAAGTCCCAGTTAGATGCCACTTCATTCATTCAAAAACACTGAGCACTTACTGCGTACCAGGCCTTCCAGGCACTGGGGATACAATAGTGAACACAACAGTAACAAACTGTACCTTCTTTGAACTTAGATTCTAATAGGGGAGACAGATGATAAGCAAAATAAACTATATAATCTACTAAAAAATGGTGAAGGCAAGAAAATAAAGCAGGGCAAGGGGTTGGATGTACCTGGAGATAGGAGCTACAATTTTAAATAAGGTGGTCAGGGAAGGCCTCACCCAAGTGGTATTTGGCAAAGATGGAGGAGATAAGGGAGCAAGTCATCAGTTATCTGGGGTAAGTGCAAAGCCTGAGGCAGGAACATACCAGGCTTTATTGGGGAATGGTAAGGAGGCCAGTGTGGCAAGCGCCACATGAGCAAGGTGGAGAGTATTAGCAGATGAATTTACGGAGTACGGGCTTTGTGGGCCAGTAAGAACTCTGACTTTTACTCTGAGTTTGGTGGGTGCCATGAAGTGTTTTGAGTAGAGTGTGACAGGATCTGATTTATATTTTAAAAGGATCGCTTGGTTGTCTTACCAATGGACTATAAGGGGATAAGGACAGAAGCAGAGACCATTCAGAGGCTACTGCAATAATCCAGATGAGAGATGATAGTGCTTGAAGAGGGAAGCCTTCTCTCACTCCAGGCCTGGGTAGGAGCCTCCCGTCCAGGAGCTCTCTGGCACCAAGAGCCAATTTGTTTGTAATTGTCTGCAGGCAATTTCTGAGCAACATCTATACCTGTCTTGTGTATCACCCTAAACCCAGCACCTGACAGGATGTCAAACGCATAGTCTGCACTCCATAAATGTTTATTGAATGAGTTTAATCTGCTTGGCAGAGGTATGCTGAGTGAGGAATGGAACCACCATGGTTCACAGGACCCATGACTTGTCTCCATGGGAGTTACCAACAGATGCCTGAAATCCCACTCCAGTGCTTACTTCAGACACAGACTACAGTGTCTGTGGGCTGCAGGCCTCAAAGTCCCCCTCCAGCCTCTC